ATAGTATGTGTTGGTACATAGGATGTACTGTGTCTCTGGCCAGTTCGAGCGTTACGGACTTCCACTGATAGGTCTCCGAGAGGGAGTTCCGGTTAACCTAGGGTCGTGGTGTGTGATCCGGATAGGAGCACACTAGGAAGTCTCGAGTGGTATTGGATGGAGGGTGCCTTGGTTTGATGTTCTGGGAACACGCCTTGGTTGAGACCCGTAGGCTTATATGCCGAGGCCAACAGGCTGGACGTTGCGTGGTTTTGGCATTGACCGTTCCAGCTTCGTCGTATTTTGTATCCCTATGCTCTCCTATTTCACTAAATCCCTTGCTTTATCTCGTTTTAAGATGTTATGTTATGTTATTTATATGCATCGAAGTGAGCCATTGAGCGGAGTATTCTCCAGAACCTCTGGTTACTGAAATATATTCGTATATCTCATCCCGCTTTGGAAACTTTATTTCAGGAGGTAGCAGTGGTGCAGGAGCGGTGGGCAAGAAGCCCATGGGATGAGTGAGACATACGATTATTTATTTTGCATTTGGTGGCCATTGGGCCTAGGCTAGACTTAGACATTGCATATGGATGTAGGAGGAGATTTATTGTCATATTTGTTCATGCCATTTTTACCTAAATCTAGTTACATTTGGATTATGTCATTTTGAGGATTCTTTATCATGTTAATTTTGGAGTATTTATTATGTATTATTTGAAGGTTAAGGTTTGTAATATTTCATTGGAAGCCTTGCAATTTGTACATGGGTTGATATAACCATGAAACATATGTAATATGATGAAAGGGCCATAGGCTTATTTTAGGATTATGATTATGTGTATGTTTAGAAAATGCATGCAAATGAACCTTGATGATTGAAATATGTTAAGTGTTAACAAAGTAAGCGATGTGATATGAATTGAGTAAATTAATATAAACTGTGATGGGTTGTAAGAGCCCCAAGGCATTGTTGATCCTTGTGTGTGCCACCCAATGATTATTAGGTACATTTTGAGGTCATAGATCACTTGTGCAAACTTGGGGATTATTGAAAAAACAAAGGAAACTCTGGCGAATTTTTTAGAAATTGGCAGAGTTTAGGCAAACTTTGGGAGAGCATATCTCCCTCCTCAGAGGTCTGATAGGGACGTGCCATACGATGTTCTGAAGCTTGAGATGTCCTCTGTCTCGTGTCAAAATTTGGGATTTTTTGGGTTTGGGATCGGTCTGTAGAAGGCAGAGAACACAGACTGTTCTGTGGGGCACATGGGGCTGTTCTGGACCGAAATTGGGAAATTTATTCCCGCTTCGTTTCTTAGTAAAATTAGGTGTATGATATATCAAATTGAATCTTGAGGCGTCTAGTATGTTGTATAAAAATTTGAGAGCAATTGGTTGAGTATATTTTCTGCAGTAATTGATTTAGTGAAGGATGTTTGGAGCTATTTTGGGGTTGGCTGGCAGAATTGCTTGTCCAACTTCAAACGGCGATATCTGAAGAAAACGAAAACTTTATGACTCGTGTGATAGATTCCTAGAAAGTTAATTGAGTTTAGAATAACATACTAAAGATGGGAGACTTGTCGTATGCAGTTTGTCCGCAGAAAATTAAAGACCGAACCATGTTCGGATAGGTAGAAAACGTAAAAGTGAGATTTTAGCTAAGTGGGTTTATGGGAACCCCTTAGTGACTTGAGAGAAGTAATATATGTTATAAAAGTTGTTTAAATAATTATTTCGCGAAGATTTTACAGTTACGGCCACAACTTTTATTTATTACGCTTTTTATTGTTTTAAATGCTCGTGTAATAAACGAAAAAAGTTTACTCGCATTTTTATGAATGAAATGTTGTGATTGTAACTGCACTTAATATCATAATTAATGTTAACAATACCGGTGTACAATGGGCTGTTACAAGTGCGATGCCTCAGGAATAGGTATTTGAGCTGTTCTAATGCAAGAAGGACGTTTCATTGCCTTTTTAGTGAAAAGCTAAGTTGAGTTGTTTTACATTACCTGTTGCGAAATCGGCAAGTATACCGTTCGTTTCAAGTAATAAATTGATAAGTAGAGTATCGTTTCCACGAGGATTAATGCACCAAGTACTAGTTTAACTATTCCCCTTAAGTTGGAAAATAAAATTGGTTTGGTTTGGTTTGTGAAAGTAATTGAGTGTTTATAATTTCAAAACAGAATTTAAAATAAAATAATATTTAAAACAGAAAATTAAAAACAATTAATTTCCAACGCATGCAAGAAAAGATCAAGAACGTAAAAAAATATTGATAGAAATTTGTAAAAAGGATGTAGCCAGGATGCACTTCACCTTCGATCCTCCCTTATATTCATATATTGTATTTTATAATTAATTAATTCGTTTGCTCAGACAATTCATTATTTTCTTATAAAATAGTTGAACCCTAATGTCTTAGCGATTTCAACCCTTTAACCCAATTAGAATCCTAGTGTCCCAGTAATCCCTCTTGACTCAAGCATTAAGCAAATGAATTATAAGTTTGCAATCTATGTAAGCCTATGTCTAGGTCATGCACAAATTGTTATTCTACCTTTGTCCAGATTAAAATCCCAATATGTCTATTGTGAGTCCTATAACCCTCAAAGCCCTATAATTTAGAGTGATCAGTTCTAAATAGAGTATGGAAGAATTAACACAGATAGAATAAAACAAACTAACTAATTAACTTATAAAAACAATATAGAAATTATAAAGGATTCACATTGGGTCCGTGATCCCAACTACAAAAACAAACTAACCAGACATAGCTGGCTTAAACAAATTAAAATAAGAAAAATTGTTCATGAAAGAAAAAGAAAAGAAGAAGAATCAATGGTCTTCAGTCTTCAACTCCATCGGAATCCTGATCTCCAGCGTGAGCCTTCAAGAATTCTCTCAATTCTCTCCAGCCAAAGATTGTTTGCCTCTAGGGTATGAGTCTTTATTTATAGAGTTTGTCTCTTGCTCAGAAATCTTGATCAAATCTTCATTGTATATCTTGGGTCAATCTGTAATATACCGTAAAAATTAGGAATTTATACAAATTGCCATTAGTAACGTGAATACATGTCTTGAATTCGAATCATATGTATATATATTTAGGGTAGTATTAATTTGAATTAGGAAAATTATTATAGTTGCAGTTATATGTGAGTATATGCTTTGGGAAATCGAATACTAGTTAGAAGTATGTGATTAATTTTATTTACGACGTATAAACATCTTAGTTAATAATTAAGAGGGTACATTAAATAATAATTAGTGGCATATTACATGTGATAGGTGATCTATTAGGAGACTAAAATTTTTGGACCATAGGACCCATTAGGGCGTCGGCCTTAAGCCTCTAAATTGAGGTATAATTCAGCCCAAGATTTTCCTACACTTACACATGGTCCTTTAGCTAAACTCTACTCTTATCCTAAGGAAATTTCATGTCACTCCATTATTGGTTAAGAAGCCCCACATGGCAACTCACATCCACCCTTATACCCCTTCCCATGCGCATTGTATGATGAGAAAGCAAGCTGAATGCTTGTAAGGGTGTCCAAACTCCATCAGCCATCCGCCCCATGCAACCAATAAAGGGAAGGAAATCTGCTTGCATGTCTTTCTATTGGCTAGAACAACTTCCTACCACCTTATCCCTCCTTGTGCGCATGAAAGGGGGGAAAGCAAAGTAATAATCTGGTCATTGTTAGCAACCTAATCAGCCTCACTTTAGTTTTTCTTTTTCCCTATGCGCAAGACAAGGCACCAACCCCAAATCTGATTGCTCTTCATTTGAGTCAGAACCAAAAATCAGCCTCTCATCTCCTCATTTCCTCTCAAAACCATAAACCCCTAGGGATAGAACACAAAGAAAATTTTATCTCATCTCTTCATTTCCCTCAAGCCGTGAGCTCCATGAGCAGGGAGCAAAATACCTAAGCATCTTCCCCTTCCTTTTTCCTTGTTGTCCGAACATCATCTAGTAAGAAGGTAAGGTGTTCATCTCTTCCTTGTTCCTTCACACTCCTCTCGATTTTGATGGAACCATTTCTCTGTTTGCATGTAGCTAAAGTCCAAAATCTTGGAGCAAAAGAAGGATTAGGGTGTTACTCATTCCTTGGCTGCTCCTCTCTTGGTCGATTTGTGATTTTGGGTACACACAGGAGGTGAGTCGAACCTCAAGCCTTCCTTTTTCTCACTGTTCAGCCTTGCATGTGTATTTTAGGGGGTAGATGTTGTCATTTCTCTTCCTTTCCTTTTGCCCTTGTGACCGCTTGGACCTAGTGCTTACAAGCACAAAGAATTGATTTTTTTTGGAGCTTGAAATGTAGCCTCCATCGTTGGGGAAAATGTTTTGTTGGACTAGATTGTTGTACTTAGCATTGCATGAATTAAACTTAGTTGGACAGCATGCTTTAGGTCCCCCTTAGCGCACCATAGGCTTAGAAGAAATGGTTATGTAACTAAAAATCCTGAGCATCTTTTTAATGATGAAAACCGAATCTGCATGTGTTGGAAAACCTTGAATTTTATTACTGTTAACAAGTTACTAAATTAATATGAAGTCAGAAATTGGGTTAGTATAAGGAGCATGGTAAACCGATTAAAATACAAGAATTGGGAGGCATGAGAATTGATTATAAATTATAGGATAGCATGCAGAAAATTCTGACTTGTTGTACACTTGCTTAGGTGCGCATAATTCCTAGAGTGTGGGCTGATTTTGGTGCTGTTTGGTTAATATTTGGACACTCCAAGGTAAGTGTTAGGTGGCTAAGCCTTTTGTGACTATTAGCTAATGCATGAAATTCTGAATTGTTGCTCACATGTGCCTATGGATATGTATTCTGTTAGACATTATTTGTAATCTGCCCTTGGACTTGGACTCATTGAAATTCTGTTTTGGAGACACTTGTTATTCGAAATGTTGGTCTTAAAAATCTATGAGAACCATGGTATTCTGATTTTTGTCTTGCTCATAGACATCAGAATCTGAACCAACCCCAGATGCATGACAATGCTGAGCAAATTGCTAGGCGGAGGTTGAAAGACTTCCGAAATTTTCAGCCACCTACGTTTGAAGGTGGGGATAATCCAGAGATTGCAGCAAGATGGTTGCAGATGATTGAACACATCTTTGAACGTATGGGATGTCCTGAAGCTCACAGGGTTGACTATGCCTCATATCAGCTGATTGATGAAGCTTTAACTTGGTGGACGAGTGCAAGGGCTTTGCTTCGAGCACAACATGTTGATCTGACTTGGACGGTGTTCAGACAGGTTTTTCTTGACAAGTATTTCCCTAAGGCGATGAGGAGAATGAAACACACTGAGTTGCTGGCAGTACGGCAGAATAATATGACTGTCAATGAATATATTGCAAAGTTTGGGCAGCTGATGGAATATACTAATTTTGATCGGAACATTTATGATGAAGAGTGGCAGGTGGAAAAATATGAAAGTGGACTGCATCCAGAGATCCGCAAGCTTATGTCAACAAATCATACTCTTCCTGAATTGATCAATCAGAGTTGGCAAGCAGAAGAAATTATAAATGAAGCTAAGAATTTGTCTAAACAGCCAGCGCAATCACAAGGAGGAAGTAAAGTTGGTTGGTTCTTCAGAAAGATTACCGGAATGAATAGAGGCAAGGGTCCGCAATTGCAACCTCGGACTGGAAACTTCAAGAAGAATAATACTCCTGGACAATCATCAGCCGGGCGACAAGGTCCCAATGCTTGTACTACTTGTGGAAAGAATCATACTGGTATTTGCCGACGCGGGAACAATTTGTGCTACAGGTGTGGACAGTCGGGACACTTCATTTCTGATTGCCAACAGAATGCCAATCATCCTCCTACTCAAGCTCGGGTGTTCACCCTTGATGCAGATGAAGCTCAAAAGTATTCGAATCTGATCCGAGGTAATGTAATTCTGAATGGTTATCCTCTCTCTGTTATTTTTTATTCTGGAGCATCAGGTTCTTTTATTGCGGGGCATGCTGCACTGAGACTTGGTCTCACCCTGGCTCTGTTACCTTATGAGTTACAAATCAGTACTCCTACTGGAGGATCTTGTACTGCATCAAAAATCTGCAGGGGTTGTATTCTGCAATTTGAAGGAAGTACTTATACAGTGAATTTAGTGGTTCTATTGGTATTCAGTCTTGAGGTGATTATCGGTATGGACTGGTTGGCGGAGAACGGAATAACTTTAGATTGTCAAGCAGGAAAGGTCATTGTTCCTTCGAAAGATGGTAATTTTCAGTCTTTTGCTACTACTTCTTTATTACAAGTTAGAAAAGAACTCCTTCGGGGAGCTGAAGGGTATCTGTTGTCGATTGGGTCTGAGAGTACGATTGATACTCAACTTCAAAATATTCCGGTTGTTAATGAATTCAAGGAGGTGTTCCCCGATGAAATTCCTCGATAACCTCCTCATCGGGAGATAGAATTTCCCATTGAACTTCTGCCTGGAGTTGGGCCTATTTCCATTTCTCCTTACCGTATGACACCTTTGGAACTTCAGGAACTGAAGAAACAAATAGAAGAGCTTTTGTCAAAAGAATTCATCAAGCCCAGTACTTCTCCGTAGGGTGCTCCAGCCATTCTTATTAAGAAGAAGGATGGTAGTCTGCGTTTGTGTGTGGATTGTTAGTAAATGGGTGTCCTAGAGACAATCTTTTTGATTAAATAAGGACATAAGATGTGGACCTTTTTGTCGCAAATAAATAATAAGCACTATTTATCTTGTTTCATATTTTGTCTCGATATTATTGTTAATATATTATACATAAACTGGATAAACCCCTTGGAATACAACAGGTATTTCTTGAGTATCTGTGATGAGATCACGATTATGAGGGTTCAAGGATACCGCACGTTTATTCCTAATTCTATGTTCCTAGTCTAGAGACACTGAGGATGGGGATCAGTGATCTCGGGTAAGACTAGCACGACTTATCTACTTGTATTTGGATACAAGGTAAAGACCTCATCTGCTACAGATATGGAGATGTCTTAGCTAAAGTCGTGGGTGGACCTATAAGGGTATAGCTCGCACTGAACAGACCCACAAAGAGACTCTATGAGGAAATCTCACAGAGAGTATCATTAGAGTAGTCTCTTTATATTTGGGTATGTCTTTCCTTAGACCAGAAGTTATTACCTAGACAGTGTTCTAGAAGGTACGCTTTGACTGTATACCTCGTCTGCCTGAAACATGGAGACTCATAGGTACATTGTTGGGCTTGTCCTGAAAGAGCACAGGGCTAGGGTGATAAGCTGAAGGAATTCATCAAATCTCTGTGAGAGATTAGGTTATCTGTAAATCGGAGAAATCGGGATGACCTTTATAAGGACTCGGGAATCTATGCATAGTAAAAGAGATCATGAGATGATCTGCCGTTAGAGTCAGTAAATTAAAGATTCCCTATTTCGAATAAAGCTTACCCTAAACCGCAAGGGTTGATACGTTTCCTTACCCTAGGTTTAATGGGAAGGTAACCGAGACGAAAGGAAAAATCATACGACAACCAAATATGTGTAATAGGATGATTATGTCATTAACCTAATTAGCTCTGGGGCAACAAAGCATTGCTAGTGCTCTATGTTGTCATTAGATAGGTTGTGGGCTTGTTAGGCCCAAGCCCATTTATGTCAGTGGCTATGTTGGGCCTAATGGGTCACACACTGACACCTTATTGTCATGATAATATAACATTAAAGGTATTGGGCCTAATAATGGTTGTTAGCCCAAGAAGAAGTTTGGAAGCCCACCAAAAGGGAAAAGGGCGCATGGATCATGTAATGGGCTTGGATGGTCCAAGACATTACTAATTAATTTAATTAGTTAAATTAATTATCAAATATTTAAATTTTGAATATTGAATTTGAATTTTGAAATTTGAATTTGAATTTGAATTTTGAAATTTGAATTTTGAATTTGGAATTTGAATTTTGAAATTTGAATTTAGAATTTAGAATTTAAATTTAGAATTTGAATTTTGAATTTAAATGTTTGAACGTTTGAATTTAAATGTTTGAATTTGAATTTGAATTGGCTATGAAAAGTTGTTTCATAACAAAAGGATAAGGTAAGATCTTGTTGGAACAAATCCCAAGTATCAAGAGGAGATCTTTGAGCATCATCCAAGGCTAATTTGGGGCGCTGATTTTGGGGTCTTGTGATGGTCACAGGATCAACCAAATGAGCTCCAATCAGATTTGGTTTGTTGAGAGAATAAGTGAGTGAGTTGGTTTAAGTTTGAATGCAACTGCTCAACGTATCTGGACTATTTTGAGGCTGAATGGGGCGCACCATATAGCTGGCCATATGATGGTTGTTAAGTCATATTTTTGTTGAGATATGAACTTGATATCATGAGGATATGATAGGAGGTTGTTGGCAAGATTTGATTTGCAACAACTCCTCTCATTCTTCTCCTAATGTGCGCTACATAGGGCTGATTTTTGAGTGAAGAAATCAGATTTTTATTCACTCATTCTCTCATCTCCTTTGGTCATCCTTTTGTGAGGTTTTTCTTAAGAGAGTTTTGAAAATTACCTAGCACTTTCTAAGTGAATTCCATGCGCCACTTTTGTGTTTTTTCTTGCTGAAAATTCACTCAACTAAACACCTTGAAACCTTGCCTCCTACCTCTCTCCATTAGGGACGCCTAGCTTGCCTCCCTTGGTGTTCGTTGGTGGCCTTGAAGAAGTGTTCTTCCGTCTTGACAAAGGGTGGTGTGGATCAACATTAGAAGGCTTGTATCTTCAAGCCTCACCTTGATCATCTTCAAGTTTTGGAAAGCAAACAAGGTAACATCCATGTCCTAAAGCATGTTTCTTGATATGGTATGTGTAATTCCGCTTTGAAAATTTTGTTTTCATCCTCACTTGCCTACGACCTTCAAGGCCATTTTTCTTTCAAGTGGTATCATAGCCCGGTTGCTTTACCATAGGCGGGTGATGTTACTTTGTTTGTAAAAACTTGTTCTTTACGGTCAAAAATTCTTTAAAGAATTAAAGCATGAATCATAGCATATGGATTTTGAAATACTATGCTTTAAATTGTTAAAGTTCTTATTTTATGAACATGTTAATGTGATTGCTATGTTCATATATCTGTATGTGTTCATGGTTTTGTTTCTTTTTCTTTGTGAAAGTTTTGAAAAGAAACACCTTTTTGAAAGGGATGAATCAGCCATGAGGGGTACTTTGAGTACCTTGATTGTTTTCTTATTTTTCTCTATGAATTGTTCCATGAGAATGACATGAAATTTTTGTGAAATTTTTTATCATATATATGGATATGTGATTCAGCCATACAAGGTGTGGTGTCTACATGTGTGGTTTAATTTTCTGTTCTTTGAGAAAGAGTCATCAAAATTTGAATTATATTAATTGTTATATAATTCGGCCATTAAGAAAATTTGAATCATGATTCTTGCAAAGATATTTTAAGATGTTATATAATATTTGATATTATGTGCTTGCAAGTTATTTGAATTTTCAGGTGCAAATTGGAAGGGGATGGTCATGGTGCCCGAGTTTGAATTTCAAATTTTATATTTTAAATTAAAGGTGTAATTTTGCTCGATTTGAATTAAAATGTAAATTTGAATTTTAAATTTTGAATATTCATTTTGTCCCTCCAAAGATGTTTTGGAGTTTCTTTAATTATTTTGTAATTAGAGAATTAGGCTAGTGGCGTTTAGACGACAAGGAGTCGTGGCTTGAGAAGCAAGAAGGACGAATGCACGAGCACCATGACCGTCTCAAATAAAATTGTTTTATATGCATGTATGCTTTTATGTTTTTTTTTTTAAAAAAACGACTAGTATGCATGAAATTGGACAAATCGCGTTTGTAGTATTATTATTCACATCCAATTACGACTAGTGTAATCCGATAGATGTTTGACATAGGATACGACTAGCATGATAATTATACCTATGCGTTTGATGAGACTTAATAAACCCTAAATAAAAGGAACCCTTAAAAGGAATAAAAATTTTAAGCATGATTACCTCCCACCACCAATATTACTCAAACCTCCTCTAAATAGTGGTGCTCCACAACTCAGTTGGGACCCACTGTTTTGTTGAGTAAGAGTAGTATTAGAAGTGTTAGACATTTAGGGTGCTGGTTAATGCTTAACTAAGGCATAAGTTGTAGGCTCAGCCGGGCTTATGTGCTTAGGGTAATAATGCTAGGTTGGTTGCATGAGATGCACCACTAAGTGACAAGGAGTTGTCAACCTAATGTTAAGAGAGGGTATGAGATACTGTTGATAAGGATCAACCCATTATTTAAATTAATCTTGCAATCACAGACGGGGGTTAAAATAGATAAACGCACTCTTAATCTCACTAAGGTAAAATCTAAAAGTAGATTAACCCTAAGTCAAACGGTAAGGGTCATTGACTTAGATAAAATACTGGGAGAGGAAAATTATTTAAACTCTTTAATAATTTGTTTTTACTATATGTCGAAATATATTAATTAAATTACCTTTACATCTTTTCAGTTTTTAGTATGACTAATCCACTGTCACTGCGCTCAATACTCGAGACGAACAAACTGACCGGTTCAAACTTTATGGACTGGTATCGGAACTTAAGAATTGTTCTTTGGGCCGAAAAAATATCTTATGTCCTGGATGCTGCATTACTCGTAGCTCCTAAGGAAGGGGAAGAAGGATTCGCGAAATTTGATTTTGAGGCCCACAAACAGCACATGGATGACAATGTGTTGACTGTCTGCATCATGTTGGCATCCATGTCTCCTGAACTGCAAAAGCAGCATGAGCATATGGATGCTGTAACACCCCAAATGTGTAAATACCTATAGGGTGCACCTTCATCATGCATTCAACGCGCGGAAGTCTAAATTTAAACTTTACGAATGCAAATATCAGAGTGCGGAATGGATACACATAACCATACTTATTCCATATAAAATTAAATCCTCTAGCCATTGTGTACTTAGTGCTTCATCGAAATCATAATGTGGAAAAGCTTCTATTAATAATTTCATAGCCTCAGTCCATAGGCCTCTATCTGTTAGATCCTTTAGTTTCTCTTCCCAGGTAGGTGGAGTTTCTTCTTCTTTACGTACCAGTCTCTTACCCTTTCTTTCCCACATAACTTTCTTATTACTTTCTTTCATCTTTTCCTGAAATGGGTGGTCAAGGGGGGTGAGATTTTGGGGAAAATCTCAGTAAGGTTCACAGCTGGAGCATTCTCCAACTATGACGCTTACTCCTGCAACAGTTTATAATAACAATACAAAATGGAACATTTAACATCATCATATAAAAATATCATGCCATCATCATCATCATCATATTCCTGCCGGCTTTTACGGACTTACGGAGATACCCAGAGTCCTCGTCAGGTTGCAACTGGAGTATCAGTGCACAGGCCAACA